CACACATGGCTGATGGCGGTTCAAGTCACAGATCTGGTGGTTTGAAAATCATGCCAGGCACGTGTGCATGTGTGCCCCCAATTCCCAGAAGGTTGGAGGACAAGGAATTGCAGTGTGGCCATCCCCAGGGATAGTTTCTCACTTTCCCTCTCTCTGTCTCTCTCTCCAGCAAGAACATGCAACCTGTGGCAAAAACCTTAAAAAAAAAAAAATGAGTAGAGTGTAGGGTTGAGGGACCACAGATCTCTCATTACCCCAGGAAACCATGTCTGTTAACCTGGACAAGGCAGGGCCCAAGTCAAGACTTTGGAGCAGGCTCATTAGTTCTGGAGCAGCTCATTAGTTCTCAGCAGTTCTGGAGAAGGCCCAGAGCCCAGGGGGATGCAGGTTATGTTCTGACAGGTAACCTCCCATCAGCCCCCTGGCTGCCTCCCAGGGGGCAACCAGGCAACCCCAGCCTGCCCTGGGCTGATCTAGGACTTAGCTTTCCAGTTCGTGGGTGTCCACTCTTTTCTTTTTATACCCACCCCATTTACCCTGCACCCAGAGTGCTCTTGCAATGGTTTTTTATGCCCCTGAAAAATGACTAATGAGCGAATTGTGAGAGTTACAAAGGAGGTCACATAGTCCCTACCCTCTGCTGGAAGGCTAAAGTGCCTATCATTCTAAATACGGCAATTCTTAGCCTTTTAGACCTCTTTAAAAATCTGCTAAAAGTGGGGCCAGCAGGTGGCATGGTGTTTAAGGAGCTGGACTCCCACATGACAGACTATGGTTCAAGTCCTAGATCTGGTGGCTTGAAAATCACACCAGGTGCATGTGCATGCATGCCCCAAATCCCAGGAGAATGGAGGAGATCAATTAGGGATTGTGGTGTGGCCACCCTCCTTGGGAGTGGTTTCTTACTTTTCCACTCTCCGTCTCTGGTGAGCGACATTCCCTATGGCAAAAACCTAAAATAAATAAATTTTAAAAATCTGCTAAAAGTCACGAACCCTGTCCATGGAAAAATGTGCACACACATAAACTTTTGCTTGCTATGGTAGCAGGTCTGTGGAGTCCTTGCTCGGATTCCAGTTTAAGTAGTCCTGCCCTGGGGCCAGCAGGTGGTGTGGTGGTTAAGGTGCTGAACTCCCACATGGCTGACCATAGTAGGAGTCCCAGACCTGGTGGCTTAGAAACCACAGCAGGCATGCGTGGGTGCATACCCAAGATCCCAGAAGCAAGATGACAGAGGCGGAAGTGCAGCGTGGCCATGCCCCAAAGGTGATTTCTCACTTTCCCTCTCACTGTCTCTGTGCCTCTCTCAAGCGCATATGCCCTGTGGCAAAAACCTTAAAAAAAGAGAGAGAGAGAGAAAGAAAATTTTTTATATTTACACACATATTTACTTTTTTTTAATCTTTTTTTCCCCCTTGGTTTTTGCCATAGGACACATGTGCTTGTCAGAGAGAAACAGAGAGAGGGAAAATAAGAAAGCAACCCCTGTGGGCTATGGCCATGCTGCAGTCCCTTCTCCTTCATGCTCCTCTTGAGATTTTGGGCATGTATGCACACGCACCCAGCATGATTTTTAAGCCAGGCAGATTGCAGTTGGCTGTGTGGGCGTTCAGCACTTTAACCTCTATGGCCCTCATTTTTTTTTTTAATGAGAGAGAGGCATTTTTTTTTTCTTTTTTTTTTGGAGAGGTTTTCGCTATAGAGCGCGAGCGCTCGCCAGACAGAGAGAGACATAGAGACAGAAAGCGAGAAATCACCCCCCAGGGGGGATGGTCACGCCGCAATCCCTTCTCCTCCATTCTCCTCTCGGGATCTTGGGCATGCATGCACATGCGCCCGGCGTGATTTTAAGCCACCGGGTCCGGGACGTGAACTGCAGTCGACTACGTGGGAGTCCAGTGACATAGCCATTACGCTAACTGCTGGTCCCGAGAGAGAGGCATTTTGGACAGGGTCCTTCCTGCCCTACCTTCCCAGTTAGCCAGGCCCACAGGTGTAGGTCACCAGGCCCAGCCCGTTTAGATTGGGCCTGGAAGTGAACCCCGGCCTCCCACACAGCCCAGCAATCCCACGCAGCACCTTCAGCTCACGCCACTGTGGTGGGCCCACGTCTGCCATTTGTGCTGCTCCTCACTCTTGGCGTACACCCAGATTCAGCTGTTCCCATTTTCTTTTCCCCGAAGACTTCCTTTAGCACCTCCTTCAGTGCTGGCCTGCTGGCGGTGAGTTCCTCTAGGTTTTGTATGTCCATCAAATCTCTATTTCACCATCACTTTTTTTTAAAAAATAATTATTTAATGAATTAATTAATTATAATTTTTTTTACATGAGTTTTGCCAGAGAAAGACAGAGAGGGAGAGGGAGAGGGAGAAAGCAAGCCTCAAGGTCCAGGACTTGAAATACGGTCGGCCATGTGGGAGTCCAGCGCCTTAACCACCATGCCACCTGCCTGCCCCTCACCATCACTTTTGAAATATAATTTTCTGGATGTAAAATTGTCGATTAGGGGGCTAGGAAGAAGCATAGAGGTTAAGAAGGCTGGATCCCAGGGACTAGCAGGTGGTGTGGTGGTTAAGGTGCTGGACACTCCCACATGGCCAACCATGGTTGGAGTCTAGGACCTGGTGGCTTGCTTTCTCACTTTCTCTCTCTCTCTCTCCCCGTGTCTCACTCTGGTCAAATTTTTAAAATAATATAAAATAAATGAATGAATAAATAAATTTAAATAAATAATTCTTTTTTTATATTCTTCTTTTATTTTTTCTTTTCCTTTTTTGGAGAGGTTTTTGCTATAGGGTGCATGTGCTCGCCAGAAAGACAGAGAGAGACAGAAAAACAGAAAGCAAGAAATCACCCTGGTGGAGGATGGCCACACCGCAATCCCTTCTCCTCCATTGTCCTCTTGGGATCTTGGGCATGCACGCATATGTGCCTGGCATGAGTTTAAGCCACCGGGTCTGGGGTTGGGGACTCAAACCACGGTTGACTACATGGGAGTTTAGCGACAGCCATTATAACAACTGCTGGTGCCAGGTTTTCTTTTTTTAAGAATTATTTTACTTAACTTTATTCATTTATTTATTTATTTTAATTTGAGCAGAGAGGGACAAAGAGAGAGAGAGAAAGAAAGTGAGAAAGCAAGCCACCTGGACCTAGATACGAACCACAGTCGGCCATGTGGGAGTCCAATGCCCTTAACTACCATGCCACCTGCAAGCCCCAATAATTAATTCTTAAAAAAAAGGAAGAAAGCTGGATGTCACAATATCAACTGTGTGATTCTTTTTTAAAAATTAAATATTTATTTATTTTATTATTATCATTATCTTTTCACATGTGCTCATCAGACAGAGAGAGAGAGAAAGTGAGAAAGCAAGCCACCAGGTCCAGGACTTGAACTGCAATCAGCCATGTGGGAAGTCCAGTGCCTCAACCACCATACCACCTGCTGACCCTCAACTATGCAATTCTAATTCTGGACTTGGTGGTTTGAAAAACAGGCCAGGCGCATCTGTGTGCCCAGAATCCTGAAAAGAGAATAGAGAAGGGATTTCAATATGGCCCGACCCCTGGGAGGTGATTTCTCTCTCTCTCCCTGCAGTGATTACTAGCATCATATAGCAAACTAAAAAAGAAAAAATTTTTTGGGGGGACCAGCAGTTAGCGTAATGGCTATGTCACAGGACTCCCACATAGTCGACCGCGGTTCGAGTCCCGGACCCGGTGGCTTAAACTCACGCTGGGTACGTGTGCATGTGTGCCCAAGATCCCGAGAGGAGAATGGAGGAGAAGGGATTGCGGCGTGGCCATCCCTCTGGGGGGTGATTT